TGGATGGCTTGAGCTCACAAGTTTAAGACCAGCCTGGGCAACATGGAGAAATCCTGTCTCTATAAAAAATAGAAGAATTAGCTGGGCGCAGTGGCGCGTGCCTATAATCCCAGCTACTGGAGAGGCTGAGGAGGGAGAATGGCTTCAATCAGAGAGGCGGAAGTTGCAGTGAGCCGAAATTGCGCCACTGCACTCCAGCCTGGATGACAGAGTCAGGTAAGACTCTGTTTAAAAAAAAAAAAAAATTAGCTAGGTGTAGTAGCACGCACAACTGTAGTCCTAGCTACTTGGGAGGCTGAGGTAGGAGGATGGCTTGAGCCCATGTGGTTGAGACTGCAATGAGCTGAGATCATGCCACTGCACTCCAGCCTGAGCGACAGAGCCAGACCCTGTTTCAAAAAATAAGTAAAAATAGACTCAAAAGGATGAGTTTCAATGGACATTATTTCAAAGTCTTTAACACCTTCATTTCTTTTAACACATCCTTCTATATAGAGATTTCAAGTTTTCTATGTTGTCTCAGGTTTAGCTATTAATAAGACATGTATATAGTAATAAATGGATGACAGACATGAATTTGAGAAAACTCATTTAAAAATTTCAAATACATTTGTAAATGGTCAATGATATATAAATTATGATGATATCATCTTTCAGTTTAGCAAGCTTTAAAAAATATGCCTACTGTTTAGGAATGTTTACAGTATTAAAAAAAATGACTTTTTTTTTTTTTTTTGAGACAGAGTCTCACTCTGTCCCCAGGCGCTAGGTTGGAGTGCAGTGGCACAATCTCGGCTCACTGCAACCTCTGCCTCCTGGGTTCAAGCAATTCTCCTGCCTCAGCCTCCTGAGTAGCTGGGACTACAGGCACATGCCACCATGCCCAGCTAATTTTTGTATTTTTAGTAGAGACGGGGTTTCACCATGTTGGCCAGGCTGGTCTCGATCTTTTGACCTTGTGATCCGCCCGCCTCGGCCTCCCAAAGTGCTGGGATTACAGGCTTGAGCCACCGTGCCCGGCCAACTTTTTTTTTTTTTTTTTTTTTTTTGAGACGGAGTTTCGCTCTTGTTACCCAGGCTGGAGTGCAATGGCGCGATCTCGGCTCACTGCAACCTCCGCCTCCTGGGTTCAGGCAATTCTCCTGCCTCAGCCTCCTGAGTAGCTGGGATTATAGGCACGCACCACCATTCCCAGCTAATTTTTTTTGTATTTTTTAGTAGAGACGGGGTTTCACCATGTTGACCAGGATGGTCTCGATCTCTTGACCTTGTGATCCACCCGCCTCGGCCTCCCAAAGTGCTGGGATTACAGGCTTGAGCCACCGCGCCCGGCAACTTTTTTTTTTTTAAAGACAGAATTTCACTCTTGTTGCCCAGGCTGGAGTGCAGTGGTGTGATCTCAGCTCACTGCAATCTCCACCTCCAGGGTTCAAGCGATTCTCTTGCTTCAGCCTCCAGAGTACCTGGAATTAAAGGTGCCTGCCACTATGCCCGGCTAATTTTTTGTATTTTCAGTAGAGACGCGGTTTCATCATGTTGGTCAGGCTGATCTCGAACTCCCGACCTCAGGTGATCTACACACCTCGGCCTCCCAAAGTGCTGAGATTACAGGAATGAGCCATCGTGCCTGGCCAAAACAGAACTCTCATGCTGCAAGAAAAGTAACACAATTTGGTGGTAGGGAGAATTTTGTATTAACCATCACATGCTTTAAAAATATGCTGACATTTTGAATGCAAATCTACTTCTAGAAACTTTTCAAGAAAATAAGGGTGCCAAACTTAAGAGATGTTTATGAGAAACACTGTAACTGCGAACAGTGGAAACTACCCCAAATAACAAACCTTTTTTTTTTTTTTTTTTTTTTTTTTTGAGACAGAGTCTCGCTCTGTCACCCAGGCTGGAGTGCAGTGGCCTGCTCTCGGCTCACTGCAACCTCCGCCTCCTGGGTTCAAGTGATTTTCCTGCCTCAGCCTCCGGAGTATCTGGGACTACGGGCTCATGCCACCACGCTCAGCTAATTTCTGTAATTTTAGTAGACATGGGGTTTCACCATATCGGTCAGGCTGGTCTCCAACTCCTGACCTCAGGTGATCTACCCACCTCTGCCACTTTTATTTATTTGTTTGAGATGGAATTTCACTCTTGTTGCCCAGGCTGGAGTGCAATGGCACAATCTCAGCTCACCACAACCTCTGCCTCCCAGGTGCAAGCAATTCTCCCGCCTCAGCTTCCCGAGTAGCTGCGATTATAGGCGCATGCCAACCACGCCCAGCTAATTTTGTATTTTTGGTAGGGTTGGTCAGGTTGGTCTTGAACTCTCAACCTCAGGTGATCTGCCTGCCTTGGCCTCCCAAAGTGCTGGAATTACAGGCGTAAGCCACCACCCCAGCCTACTTTTAAATGACACATCAACATTAACAGAGATAGTTATACTATGGCTGGGCTCTCTACTAAATACAAAAAATTAGCCAGGCACATTGGTGTGTGCCTGTAACTGTGGAGGTTGAGGCAGGGGAATTGCTTGAACCCAGGAGGCAGAGATTGCAGTAAGCTGAGATGGAGCCACTGTACTCCAGCCTGGTGACAGAGCAAGAGTATGTCTCAAAAAAAAGCAAAACAAAACACAACAAAAAACAAAACAGATAATTATATTTAATATGATCTAATAATATAATGATATATTAATGCTTCCCCCAAGGTCAAGAAAAAGTTTTATAGTCTATTACTTGTATTCAGCATTGTATAAGAAAAAGAAACAAAAGGGAGTGTGTGAAGTCAAACTATTTCCATAGCAATACCAAGATTTATTGCTTTTTGCACTATGTGGCATTTGCACTAATGATGGAAATGCAAAGTCACTCGCAATGAACTAAACTGTACTAGCAGTTTTCAGTAGCATGCATTTGTAAAAATAAATTCACTTATGGATGTTATTCCAACACCAACTGGTATATATGAAATACAATTCTGCTGCTAACGTACTCAGATTTAGCATCAGACTCCACAGGTGTAAAGGCATGGTTCTCAACAAGACTGCCGTCACTTCAGATACCACCTGCACTTCTAATCAACTGGCCATAAATCTGGGAGGGTTCCCAAGGTTGGATAATTTGTTATGACTCACAGAACTCAGGAAAAGCTCTATACTTACATTTACAGTTTTATGTTTGTTTGTTTTTTTAAACAAAGGATACAAATCAGGAACAGCCAAATGAACAGGCTCATAAGGCAAGGTCTGGGAGGGTCCCAAATGCAGAAGTTCTGGGCCAGCTTTCAGTGGATGCAGTAGCATCACCATCCTGGCATACTGATGTGTTCACCAAGGGGGTGCACTGAGCTTCAAAGTCTAGAGTGGTTTTACTTGGGTTTCATTACGTAGGCATGACTCATGCCATATGACTGAACTCAGCTCCAGATCCCCACCCCTCCCAGACTTTGGGCTGGCTCAAAGACCCAAGTTTCTAATCCCATAGTTGGTCTTTTTGGTGTCTAAACCCCACTGTGAGTCATCTCATCTCTTAGTATAAATTCAGGTATGATCCAACGGGTTTATGAATATAGCAAAGACACTTGGAAATTTCAAGGAGTTAAGAGTCTCTCTTCCAGGAACCAGGGACAAAAATCATCTTTACTACAGATGTCTTTGGTCAAACAGAAAACATTATTAATAATTTCACGAAATTTTAGCCTTTGAAATCTTAATTTTCTGTATGACAAACTGGGTAGTATGCCTAAAGCATTTCTGTTTCACACCAAAGTACAAAGGTTATCTTACTGAAAAGCAGAAAAGTGCTTGCACAGTTGCTGGACTATAAGCTGAACTAGCCATTTTTCACGGAATATCATTTTTACTTGAAAGAATGACAAACTGTGACTATTAGGAGATGTTTTCTTAAAAATAAATCAAAAGAGTCTATCACTTAAAGAAAACAGAGTATTTGTTGCTGATGAGAAAATTTGAGCTTTCAAGTGAAAATCAGAATTTTTGAAAACTTGATGCACATACTTCCAGGACCTCCTGAGGGATGTCACTGGTGGAAGGAAAAAAAAAAGAGAATTTTTGAAAACTTTGTATAAAGTGTCAACATTTAGGAGGATCTGAATAATCCAGTAAACCAATATTTTCCAAATAACCAAGGTACAATGCTATTAAGTAATAATACAAAGGTTAAAAATCCATTCAAGGCCGGGTGCGGTGGCTCACGCCTGAAATCCCAACACTTTGGGAGGCCGAGGTGGGTGGATCACAAGGCTAGGAGTTCAACACCAGCCTGGCCAAAACCCCATCTCTACTAAAAATATAAAAATTAGCTGGGCGTGGTGGCATACGCTTGTAGTCCCAGCTACTTGGGAGGCTGAGACAAGAGAATCGCTTGAACCTGGGAGGTGGAGGTTGCAGTGAGCCAAGATTGGGCCATTGTACCCTAGCCTGGGCAACAGAGTGAGATTTTGTCTCGAAAAAAAAAAAAATTCCATTTAAAATCAATAGATTTTAAACTAATAGACTAGACTGTACCAAACAGAGTCCCATTTCTACCAAAGAAAAAAAATTAGCAGGTTAATATGGCATGCACTTGTCAAAGGCTGGGCGTGGTGGCTCACGCCTGTAATTCCAGCACTTTAGGAGGCCAAGGCAGGTGGATCACCTGACGTCAGGACTTTGAGACTAGCCTGGCCAACATGGTAAAATCCTGTCTCTACTAAAAATACAAAAATTAGCTGTGCGTGGTGGTAGGCGCCTATAATCCCAGCTACTCAGGAGGCTCAGGTAGGAAAATCACTAGAACCCAGGAGGTGGAGGTTGCAGTGAGCAGAGATCACACCATTGCACTCCAGCCTGGGCAACAAGAGTGAAACTTGGTCTCAAAAAAAAAAAAGAAAGTGAAGAGAAATATTTTATACATAGGATGTGAATAAAATAGATATGAGCACTAAAAAGAACACCCAAAGGTTTATTTACCTGAGGTAGAAAGAAAATAATACCACTTACTGCTTACCAGGACTATGATGAGTTGCAAATTCTTCATTCTGAAACATGTCTCCTGCCACATTCATTCTACCAGGGTTAAAAGGTCCTACTCCAGTCTTGGTCTGTGGAGTTAAAGATGGGGTGTATGTTTGTATATTAACACCAAATGTACTTGACTGAGGTCCTTTAGCGACATCTCCCAAGTTGGTATTCTATAGTGATGTTTTATATGTAATCATCATGTTCATATCTTGCCCAGCATTCACAGAGATTATACCTGTTTCTAAGGTTGTAACATTAGTAATAAGGTATTTCAGAGTCAATTCTGTAGTGATACCACTATTACCCATTTCTGCATTTACCTTATTTCTTGAAAGACTGGAAGTGGAGAGATCCAAGTCTTTGGTTTTGTTTTTAGTTCCAGGAAGTCCCCATTCAATAAAACAGGAAGAAGTTTTCTCCACTCCTCCATGTGTTTCTATGGCCTCTTCATCATCAATAACAACTGTCTCACTTCTATTTCCTTTCTGAGATGCCAAATCTCTTGAAGAAAGAGAAATTACAGAATAATTTCCTTGTGGCTTTTCATTTTTTGATGACATAAATCTAAAGTTTCTTTGATCAGCTATTGCTGGAGCAGAAACTGAAGAAGGCTGTCTAGATTCAATAAATACAACATCATCATCATCATCGTCATCATCTTCCACTGGTGAGTTTCTAGATCTACTGACTGAAGGATGAGCTGGATGACCAAATGAATCTCCTATGTCCATGAGAGTAGTTGCCATGGTCATATCTCCTAATAAAGCAGGAGTCTGTTCAGTCAATTCTAATCCTCCCACTGAACCTTTATCCACGCCAACGAACCTGTGAAGAGACAGAAAAGAAAGAAAAATCCTAGTATGTTACGGTTTTTGCATTTTGCTACAACAAAATAGGACAAGTAATTGTTTTATTTATTTGATACCTGACATCCATTCTCTTTTTCCTCTACTGTTAACTAATGTTTACTTCAGAGTTTAATGGAAATTAATTATACGATCTTGATAATTCTTTAAAAAAATGTAATCAATTTATGGGACTCACTTTAGTCACTCTTTATAGTGAAAAAATGTCTTCCTTTGAATTAGAAAATAGTAACAAAATAATTTTATTCAATACCAATAACTTAGGGTCCCAATATAATCACTTATATTCCATATGCGTTTATTTACTACAGTGTTTATGATATGGCCCTATTTACCAAGGCTTTTTTTTTTTTCAAAATCTCTTCTTCCAAAATAACTATGTGATTATCTTTCTGCATCTTTTTTTATCCTTGTACAGAAAGCAGTAAGTCCATTTATGCCAGATACTATGCTATGGGCTTTTTACAGAAAGTAAAATTCTCAAAACCCCATAATAGCAGGTATAATTTACTCTTCTATAGTTCAAGAAATTGAGACCTAGAGAAGCTAACTAAATTGTTCCAGATAAGCCTTGGGGTAAGACTTAAACTCAGGGCTCTAACACTAGGCCCCAGATACTTTTTTTTTTTGAGACAGGGTCTCACTCTGTTGCTCAGGCTGGAGTATAGTTGTGCGATCCTGACTCACTGCAGCCTTAACCTCCTGGGTTCAAGCAATCCTCCCAAGTAGCTAGGACAACAGCAGGCTCTTGCCTTCATAACCCAGCTAATGTTTCATAATTTTTTTGGAGCAGGGGTCTTACTACATTGCTCAGGCTGGTCTCAAACTCCTGGCCTCAAGCAATCCTCCTGCTTCCCAAAGTACTGGGATTATAGGCCCGAGCCATGCATGGTACCTGGCCTAGCCCCAAATTCTTAACTTGTTAATACTCAACATTTTGTATACTTACTATGCATTAAACTACAATGAAGGAAAGAATCTAGCAGAGAAACAATAGTTGAAAAATCTGGAAGAGAGTAACTGATGGAACACGGACAATCTTAAGCAGATGAGAGATAAGGACATGTACAGAGGTGGTAATGAAATTGATCATGTGTAAGAATCACTTCTATCTCAACTGCAAGAAGGCAAATTAAGTATAATTGGAATGTACGTAAATATACAGAAATAATACATGGGATTATACATACTGTTCTCAAGTTTCAATTTTTTTTTTCTTTTAGTGGAGGTGAGTGAGGTCTCACTGTGTTGCCCAGGGTGGTCTTGAACCCCTGAGTTCAAGTGATCCTCCACCTCAGCCTTTCAAAGTGCCGTGATTACAGGAATGAGCCATGACAGTCCTGGCTTCAATTTTTTTTCTTTTTTTTTTTTTGTGTTCGGGTCTTACTCTGTCAACCAGGTACAGTGGCACCATTTCAGCTCACTGCAACCTCCACCTCTCAGGCTCAAGTGATCCCTTGCCCTTAGCTTTCAATTCGCTATGTGGCAGCTGGCAAATTACGTCACCTCACTGAGTTTTAGTTTTCTGAACTATGAACGGGGATAACATACAGCTTTAAGGTTTTTAATGAGATGAGTAGACATGCAAATTCCTGGCATACTGACTCGTCCATATCAGAGAGTGTAAAAAATATCAAATTATGGCCAGGTCCAGTGGCTCATGCCTATAATCCCAGCACTGTAGAACGCTGAGGCAGGTATATTACTTGAGGCCAGGAGTTTGAGACCAGCCTGGCCAACATGGCAAAACCCTAACATTTGTATTTTTTTTTTTGAGACGGAGTTTCGCTCTTGTTACCCAGGCTGGAGTGCAATGGCCGATCTCGGTTCACCGCAACCTCCACCTCCTGGGTTCAGGCAATTCTCCTGCCTCAGCCTCCTGAGTAGCTGGGATTACAGGCATGCGCCACCATACCCAGCTAATTTTTTGTATTTTTAGGAGAGACGGGGTTCCACCATGTTGACCAGGATGGTCTCGATCTCTTGACCTCGTGACCCACCCGCCTCGGCCTCCCAAAGTGCTGGGATTACAGGCGTGAGCCACTGGGCCCAGCCCATATTTGTATTTTTGTAGGGAAGGCGTGGTGGCATGTGCCTGGAGTCCCAGCCACTCAGGAGGCTGATGCCAAGAGAATTGCTTGAACCCAGGAGGTGAAAGTTGCAGTGAGCCAAGATCATGCCACTGCACTCCAACCTAAGTGATACAATGAGACTGTCTCAAAAACAAAAAATCCTTTCCAATAAAAGGTATTTAGGCAAATACTGTGCTATATCACTACATCCTAGGATTTTAGCAACTGCCTAATTTTAAATATTTATCTAGTATTCTTGTGGTATCTTATTCACACACAAATTATAACACAAGCAAAATGCTTAAATGCAAACTATCTCTAGAGGATGAGTAATGACATTGTAAATTTAACAGGATATTTAATTAGGGGTAAAGATAAAGAGTTAACACTAAAACAAAGACATGAATAAATGTACTTTGACCTATTATATTTAGCTCTCTTCTTGTAGACCACTTTCAGAGACACTTCATAGTTGAGTATACAAGCACTCCTATTTAAAGTTAGATATAAAGGTGTACCATGATTCTGAATGTACTAACTAAAGTAATGAGATCAGAAAAAGAAGTGTTAACTGAACTACCACCTCAAGTAGCAAGAGAATTGTTGCAGGAACTAGGTACAAAATTACTATCTAAATTGGGCATGGTGGCTCACACCTATAATCCTAACATTTTGGGAGGCCAAGGCAGGAGGATCACTTGAGTCCAGGAATTCAAGACCAACTTGGGCAACACAGTGAGAACTCATCTCTACAAAAAAACCAAAGGCCAGGTACGGTGGCTCATGCCTGTAATCTCAGCATTTTGGGAAGTGAGGTGAGGTGAGAGGATGGCTTCAGCCCAGGAATTCAAGAACAGCCTGGGCAAAGTAGAGAGACCCTTCTCCACAAAAAATTTAAAAATTAGCCGAGCATGGTGGCACATGCCTGCAGTTCCTGCTACTTGGGAGGCTGAGGTGGAAGGATGGCTTGAACCCAGGAGGTCAAAGCTGCAGTGAGCCATGACCATACCACTGTACTCCAGCCTGGACAACAGAGCAACACCCTGTCTCAAAAATTAATAAAAAATAAATAGAATAAAATAAAATAAATTAGCTCAAAATGGTGGTGCACACATGTAGTCCCCAGCTACTTGGGAGGCTGAGGCAGGAGAATCACTTGAGTTCAGGAGTTCAAGGCTGCAGTGAGCTATGACTGCATCACAGCACTAAAGTCTGGGCAAAGGGTGAGACCCTATCTCTGAAAACAAAACAAAACAAAACAAAACAAAACTCTACTTAGAAATCAGTAGCCTAGCAGGGATTAAGATAGCAAACTGGGCCAGGCGCAGTAGCTTATGTCTGTAATCCCAGTACTTTTGGAGGCCTATGTGTTAGAGACCAGGAGTTAGAGAGCAGCCTGGGCAACATGGCAAAACCTTATCTCTACAAAAAATATACAAAATTAGCCAGACATAGTGGCACATGATTGTAGTCCCAGCTACTTGGGAAACTGAAGCAGGCTGATTGTTTGAGCCTAGGAGACAGAGGTTGCAGTGAGCCAAAATGAGCCACTGCCCTCCAGCCTAAGTGACAGAGTAAAGAGACGTTATCTCAAAAAAAAAAAAAAAAAAAAAAAAAAGGCCGATTGATCACATACAACTAACTTCATTCCCTTCCAAACTCCCCTAACAGTACTACCACAAGGAAAGGAAGAACAAGAGAAGAAACAAAAGCAACATGATTTTATAAGCTGAAGAAGAGATGGATGAATGGTTAACTAACTACCAACCTGAGATAGCCAGAGTCTACAACAGTGAAGAAAAGCCAAAAAAATTTCTAATTTATGCTGTAGGCTCAGGAATATATAGCACCAGATACCCCTGGAACAGGATGGGCAGATGCTAAAAAAGGAGGTTGACAGATTTCTTCCCTCCCATCATGCTGATGGTGGCAGGCCTTTCCCAATCCTAGCATAGATTCTAAGCATTTTTTCTTTGACAAGATAGAACATAAAGATCTAAGTCTTGGGTTCACCAAGCACTGGGGAATGTTTCAACACCATGAAATGTCCCCCTTCCTACTTGATTCCCAGAGAGCTGGCATCCAGACCTGTATATTCCAGGCAACAAACTTCTCTGGAAGTTTTCTCAGCAAGACTCTTCCCTGCGTAACTAAGAAACAGAAAAAAAGGAAAGTCCTAAAAATATTAACCCATGGGGTTCCCCATCAATTGACCAAAAGATCATCCTATTATTAAGCTTCAAGTTGAAAGCCCCACTCTGACTCTTCCAATTTGCTTCTTAGTTCCCAATTCTTTTTTTTTTTTGAGATGGAGTTTCGCTCTTGTTGCCCAGGGTGGAGAGCAATGGCGTGATCTCGGCTCAAGTGATTCTCTTACCTCAGCCACCCAAGTAGCTGGAATTACAGGCATGCACCGCCATGCCTGGCTAATGTTTTGTATTTTTAGCAGAGACAGGATTTCTCCATGGTGGTCAGGCTGGTCTCTAACTCCCGACCTCAGGTGATTCACCAGCCTTGGCCTTCTAAAGTGTCGGGATTACAGGCATGAGCCACCGTGCCCAGCCAGTTCTCAATTCTTAATCACGAATAAATCAGGCAATAATTATGTAACAGATATAACAACTACTATATACCCATAAAAAATTTTAAATAAAACCTTTTTTTTTTCCAAAGGAATCAAGCTATCCACCCACCTTGCATCTATAATCCCAGTACTTTGGGAGGCTGGGGCGGGTGGATCACTTAGGTCAGGAGTTCAAGACCAGCCTGGCCAACATGGTCAAATCCTATCTCTAGGGTGGATCACTTAGGTCAGGAGTTCAAGACCAGCCTGGCCAACATGGTCAAATCCTATCTCTACCAAAAATACAAAGATTAGCTGAGCGTGTTGGCACACACCTGCAGTCCCAGCTATCAGGAGGCTGAGGCATGAGAATCGCTTGAACCCAGGAGACAGAGGTTGCAGTGAGCCTAGATCACACCACTGCATTCCAGCCTGGGTGACAGGGTAAGATTCTGTCTCAAAAAAAAAAAAAAAGAATTATAGATGGTGTCTCGCTCTGTCACCCAGATTGGAGTACAGTGGTGTGATCTCGGCTCACTACAACCTCTGCCTCCTGGGTTCAAGTGATTCTCCTGCCTCAGCCTCCCAAATAGCTGAGATGACAGGTGCTGCCACCATGCCTGGCTAATTTTTGTATTTTTAGTAGAGATGGGATTTCACCATGCTGGCCAGGCTAGTCTCGAACTCCTGACCTCAGGTGATCCACCCCCCCTCCCCGGACTCCCAAAGTGCTGGGAGTACAGGTGTGAGCCACCATGCCTAGCCAACACTTCTAATATAAAAAGAACTGCTGGAAATTAAAATCTTAGTGGCAGAAATGAAAAATTTAGCAATAAGAGTTAAAAGATAAAGCTGAGAAAATATCAAGAAATAAAGGAAAAAATGAAGAGGATAAGAATTATGTATCTCAGGTTAGGAGGGGCGGGACAATTATATCTCCCATTAACTGCATGCCTGTGTGTATCCCAAACATTATAGAACAGGCTTTTTTGTTTTCTTAAGACAGGGTCTGGCTCTGTTGTCCAGCGTGGTATGCTATGGAACACACACAGTTCACTGCAAGACTCCATCTCCTGGGCTCAAATAATCCTCCTAACTTGGCCTCTGAGTGCTGGGATTATACAAGTAAGTCACAGTGCTGGGATCACTTTACACATTTTTTTGGGACAGTCTCCATCTGTTGCTCAGGGTGGAGTATGTGGTGTGATCACTGCTCACTGCGGCCTCAACCTCCTGGACTCAAGAGATCCTCCTATGTCAGCTTCCTAAGTAGCTGGGACTACAGGTGTGTGGCACCACACTCAGCTAATTTTTATATCTGTTGCGGAGACGGAGTTTTGCCATATTGTCCACACTGGAACTCCTGGGCTCAAGCTACCCACCCACCTCAGCCTCCCAAAGTGGTTGGATGACCCGCATGAACCACTGTGCCCAGCCACTTTGCCACATCCTGACACAGTTTTAAGTTTAACTAATTAAAGAGGTGTGCTGCGAAATGTAAGCAAATAAGAGCAAAGAAGTTAGCAGAAAGCAACAAGGGTAAAAGGAAGGCAGGAATACTACTACGGGAGATAAACAAATCACGAGTTTGTTTTTCTCGTTTGTTTGGGTTTTTTCTTTGAGATGCAGTCTTGCTCTGTCGCCCAGGTTAGAGTGCAGAGGTGCAATCTCTGCACTCATAGCAACCTCCACCTCCTGGATTCAAGTGATTCTCCTGCCTCTGCCTCCCTAGTAGCTGGGATTACAGGTGCTCGCCACCACACCCAGCTAATTTTTGTAGTTTTAGTAGAGATGATGTTTCACCATGTTGGTCAGGCTGGTCTCAAACCCCTGACCTCAGACAAGCCGCCTACCTTGGTCTCCCAAAGTGCTGGGATTACAGGCACGAGCCACTGTGCCCAGTCACAAGTTTGTTTTTGATGACCAATGGAAAACTGTTTGATCAAGGTTGAAAGGACAAAATTGGCAGGAACTGAATCCTAGATAATAAAAGTAGAAGTAGAATGGGTGCGTTGGCTTACACCTGCAATCTCAGCACTTTGGGAGGCGGGTGGATCACCTGAGGTCAGCAGCTCCAGACCAGCCTGGCCAATATGGTGAAACCCTGTTTCTACTAAAAATACAAAAGTTAGTCAGGTGTAGTGGTGCATGTCTGTAATCCCAGCTACTTGGGAGGCTGAGGCAGGAGAATCGCTTGAACTCAGGAAGTAGAGGTTGCAGTGAGCTGAGACCTCGCCACTGCATTCCAGCCTGGGTGACAGAGAGAGACTCCGTCTCAAAAAAACAAAACAAAACAAAACAAAACAACAAATGTAGAAGTAGAGCTTAAGAAAATCATTCTGTTGCTCCTAATGAAATTATTGATTCACACAAGCATTGGTGTTAAAACCATTAAGTTAATAGCTGACAGAGAAAGGGCAATTGTACTGTACCAAAATGAACACATAGATCACTGTCTAGTAGCAAAAAAACCCGAAGACAAAAACCAACAGAGAAAGATCAGGCCAGTCAGATTCAGTGGTCAATCTTAGGAATAGGGTGACAACTAGTTTATGTTATCTCCTCATGTGATGCTCCCTGGAGGACTGACAGGGTACATAAACAACAGTCTTCCTCAAATATACGGCAAACACCAATGTCAAAACAACAGATTACTCTGTAGTTTCTTTTTAATCCAACTGTAAAAAAGTTTTTTCAATCTACCAGAAAAGAAAAAATTGTTAAATGCAAGGCACTTAAAAGAGAGCTAACTGGCCAGACGCAGCGGCTCACGCCTGTAATTCCAGCTCTTTAGGAGGCCTAGGTGGGTGGATCACCTGAGGTCAGGAGTTTCAGACCAGCCTGACCAATATGATGGAACCCCAACTCTACTAAAAATACAAAAATTAGCCGGCATGGTGGCGTGCGTCAATAACCCAGCTAGTCGGGAGGCTGAGACAGGCAAATCGCTTGAACTCGGGAGGCGGAGGTTGCAGTGAGCTGAGATCCTGCCACTGCATTCCAGCCTGGGCATAAGAGTGAAACTCCGCCTCAAAAGAAAAAAAAAGAGAGAGAGTGCGCGCGAGAGCTAACTTTAAATCTTGTTTTGGAACTTGAGAGAGTTCCCGTGGTATAAATGCCAGCACTCCCCATGCCTTCCCAAGGACTACCATGGCCTGGCTCTGGGGACAGGGCCACCCAAGCAATTAGCTTGAAGGTCAGGGCCTTCAAGATAACACAAACGAAAATCCCTCAGGAAGAACACCCTATTATTGCACTAATTATATTAGACAACCTAGCAGGGTAAAAAAAGACTCACAATGGAGGTATTTCCTTCTTAATTTCTGCCAAAGCTTCACGACGTTGGCTTGAAGGTGATTCTTGATCCTAGAATGAGAAATGAAAAACAATTTCGGGACAAGCAACCTGGATGCATAACCAACCCAACACCAGGAGGTGGCAATGGGGTAAGAATCCAAGGAGTTCCTGGGCCCTACTACCCTCCCCAACCGTAATGATGCCGAGAAACCAAGTCGAAAAAAAGCACTATAGGAACCGCAAGGAGGAGACAAAGCTAAAAGTGCTTCGTCCAACTGCAGTGGTGGGGAGAGAGTCGGTTCGGGGATCCGAGCCTGGTCCCGGGAGCGGAGAGGGAAGGGAAAACGTTGCCTTGACACCAGCAAAGGATTTGTATTCCCTGCTGTATTTGCCCACCCAGCGTCATCTCTGTCACACCAAGTCCTATTCAGAGGAACGGGAGGCGGCGTCACCGCTGGGCCCACGGTGGCCTCAAGAAGTTGCCCTGGGGCCCCTGCAGTTACGACAGGCCCCAGATCCGCCATTAATCTCGCCCAGATAAGCAGCAAAGAGTGAAAGCCGCGCAGCGCGAGGGAAAACAAGAGCGCGAGGGGACCCGGCGGGGCGGAGGCAGCGGCCCTCGCCCCGAAAAACTTGGGGACCTCGGCTCTGGCGGGCTGGGTGGCAGCGCGGCCCCGAGCGCGGAGACCCGGCCGGGGCGCCCCTCCCCCGCCCCCCGCAGGAGAGAAAGGAAAATGCCCCGCGACCTCCCCGGGCGGCCGGCACCCCGGCACCCCCGCCCCGCCGCCCCGCCGCCCCGCCGCCCCGCCGGCCCCGCGACCCCCGCCGCCGGCGGCCGCCTCACCCAGCCCTCCCGGCCTCGCCCGCACTCTCCTAGCCCCTCGGGCCGCACACAGAGGCGCCTGTGACATGAGAGCGGCCCCGAGCTGCGCCCGAGGCCCCGACGCGGCAGCGGCGACGGCGGCCGCGCCGCGGGGTATTAATCCCGGGTCGGTGGGAGGCTCCGGAGGCTGCCCTCACCCATCTCCGCCTCCCCAGTCGCCTCCGCCTCCGCCTCCTCCTCCGGAGGCTGCGCCGCTCCCAGCCACCCCCACTCTCGGCGGCCCCGGACTGGAAAGACAGCGGGGATAAGCCTCACCCGGTTCTGGCTGCGGCTCCGCGGAACGAACCTCCCCTCCCCCGGCCCACCCCCCTCCGGCGACACGCACAACTCCGCTCGGTCCAGTCCCGGCTTTAGCGCTGGTGAGGAGGAGGAGGCGGAGGAGGTGGCGGCGCGGCCGAGCCCGGGGAGGCCCCGCCCTCCGCGCGCTCGTTGGCTGGCGGGGGAGGCGGGCCGGGGCGTCTCGGGCACGCCCATTGGCTCCGACGGCCGTCCTTCAGGACCCCCCCTCGGTGGGGTGGTCCGAAGGGCTGTCCGTCAGCCGCAGGCCACACCCCCGGCCCTGCCGTTCCACTCCCGCCTCCGCCGGCCCTCGACTCTCGGCCGCGTCCCCTCCCCGCCGGTCCCCCGCCCCCACCCCTAGGGTCTGCCAGGGTCAGGAGCCCGGGATTCGCTGCCCGCCGCACCAGCTTCGCTTCGGCCCCTTGGGGCCCGGGGCTCTCCGGTACCTAGACAGCCCGGGAGACTCCGGCGGGGCCGCCTGCCCTCGCCCGAGCCAGGGTGCCCAGGCCGCGGCAGCGGCTCCCAACGCCTCTGCCCGAGGAGAGCCGCGGCCTCGATGCCCCGGAGCCCTCCCTGTCCAGTTCCTTGAAGGCCCCCACGAGGGGCGAGGCCGGGGAGGCGCTGCAGTGGGGCCGAGGGCGCTCTCGGGGCCGCGGGCGAAGTGGGACCCTGAGCGCGCCGGGGGCGGTGGAGGCCCCTCCACCCTCGCCGCGCCCCGTGGGGAGCAGGCCCCCACCTCCCGCCATGGCTGCAGCAGGAGGAGACGACGTCCTCCATTTTGTCGGAGCGGCTGTGGGCACTCGGGACCCCTTCGGCCCCACACCCCGTGGGGCCGGGAAACTTGTCCCCGGGAAGCCCCGACTGGGCGCTGCCATTCGGCCGAGGGAGCAGCCCCGGCTGCCGGCGTCTGCGTCCGCGGGGCCGCAGGGGACGGGCGCGACGGTGGGGAGCCCCAGACGCCCTCCCCGCCTCCATCCGCCAAGATGGAGGGAGCCGCGGGCGCCCCTGGAGCTCGGCTCCGGCGGGTCGGAAGGGCCGGGGCCCGCCCTGGGGCGTCCCGGGGCGCCGGCCCTGCCCAGGCCTGCCCGCCGCCCGCCGCCGTCTCCTGGTCCTCCGCAGTGGGTGGAGGCTCCGTGGGGGCTCCCTCCACTGCCCGCTCCATCGCGGGGCGCACCCGCTGCGGCCCCCGGGGGGAGCGCGCTCGGGGACAGACGGCGCCGGGCGCCCGGGGAGGGCGGGTCCCGCAGGCCACCTCCACGAGGGGCTTCTCTTTTGTTCCTCGTCTACACCTACGTCTTCGGCGGACGTCATGGTGCTGAACCATTTCCAAGACCACGGAAAGATGGAAGCGATGCCGCTTTCGTCTCGCCCCGGCGGTCCTCAGTGGGATTACAACTGAGGATGTTGGTTTGGATAGAAGTTGATGAAATACCTGGCCGTACGTCTGGAAATACGGTTAATGGGATTTTTTAAAGACACATCGAGCCCCCTTTTCACTTCTTTGGTATGGTAAAGGCAAAGATTGACTCAATGAAAATCAGACTTTAACCATCTAACGCAGGGTGTGGCCAATCTTTTGGCTTCCGCGGGCCACATTGGAAGAATTGTCTTGGGCCACGCATAAAATACACTGACACTAACGATAGCTAATGAGCTAAAACACACACACACACAATATGCCAATAATAATGTTTTAAGAAAATTTATGAGTTTGTGTTGGGCTGCATTCAAAGCCGTTCTGGGCTGTGGGTTGGATGAGCTTGATCTAAGATGAAAGCATGTTCATGTATTGATGAGAGTGCTGTGTAAGCCTTTGCATGTTTTTTTTTTTTTTTTTTTTTTTTTGAGACGGAGTTTCGCTCTTGTTACCCAGGCTGGAGTGCAATGGCGCGATCTCGGCTCACCGCAACCTCCGCCTCCCGGGTTCAGGCAATTCTCCTGCCTCAGCCTCCTGAGTAGCTGGGATTACAGGCACGCGCCACCATGCCCAGCTAATTTTTTTTTTTTTGTATTTTTAGTAGAGACGGGGTTTCACCATGTTGACCAGGATGGTCTCGATCTCTCGACCTCGTGATCCACCCGCCTCGGCCTCCCAAAGTGCTGGGATTACAAGCTTGAGCCACCGCGCCCGGCCTAAGCCTTTGCATGTTACTTACTGCTGTATTTCATGGACATGCCAAATGCCACATTTTTTTTTTTTTTTTTTTTTTTTTTTTTTTTTTTTTTTTTTGAGACGGAGTTTCGCTCTTGTTACCCAGGCTGGAGTGTAATGGCGCGATCTCGGCTCACCGCAACCTCCGCCTCCGGGGTTCAGGCAATTCTCCTGCCTCAGCCTCCTGAGTAGCTGGGACTACAGGCGCGCGCCACCATGCCCAGCTAATTTTTTGTATTTTTCGTAGTGACAGGGTTTTGCCATGTTGACCAGGATGGTCTCCATCTCTTGACTATGTGATCCGCCCGCCTCTGCCTCCTAACGTGCTGGGATTACAGGCTTGAGCCACCGCGCCCGGCCCAAATACCACATTTTTAAGGCCCTTATTAGTTTTGGAAATAAATGAATTGCACGTATTGTTATCATGTTAATGACTGCTGTAAATTGCAAGTATCTTTTTTCTTTTAAAGGTGGTTGGGTTAAAAGCCAGTAGTAGTACACTGAGTTCGTGAAGAAGGGCTCCATAGAGAAAATTTAGAGCTCTCACAAAAACTTTAAATGGTAAGCTCATTAGCCACGTGCCATCTGTTTTATGAATCTGTATCTTTTTCACAATTTTTTGTCATTGATACTGTTCAAAGGTTAAATTGGGTAATGCTTCTTTTTCCTGATAATGGCAAGAAGAACAGGTTCAAGTGCCAATGAAAACGCTCACCTCAGTATGCTGCCATGATTTCGAAGGGTGTTGAACATTTAGGGAAATAAAGTCTTCATTGTTCAACAAGATAGTGTTGCTCATTGTAAATCTTGATAATTCAGGACTCCTGGCTAATGTAAAGTCACAACATTATGAACAAGACTATGCAAAGGGGCCAGATGACCTGACATTGAATCATAACTTTATCACTAGTAGCTGTGTGATCATATTAATAGATGAGTTACTGGCCGGGCGCAGTAACTCAAGCTTGTAATCCCAGCATTTTGGGATGTCGAGGCGGGCAGATCACCTGAGGTCAGGAGTTTGAGACCAACCTGACCAACATGAAGAAACCCCTTCTCTACTGAAAATAGAAAAATTAGCCGGGTGTGGTGGCATGTGCCTGTAATCTCAGCTACCCAGGAGGCTGAGGCAGGAGAATCGCTAGATCCCAGAGGCAGAGGCTGCAGTAAGCCGAGATCGTACCACTGCACTCTAGCCTGGGGGACAAAGCAAGACTCCATCTCAAAGAAAAAAAAAAAAAAAAAAAGACAAGTTACTCAGCTTCAGTTTTATTATTTTAAAAATGTAACTGAAATACCTAAGTTTTTGTTTTTTTTTTGAGAATTAAACGAATTGGCTGGGCACAGTGACTCACGCCTGTAATCCCAGCTAGTTGGGAGGCTGAAGCAGGAGAATCACTTGAACCCAGGAGGTGGAGGTTGCAGTGAGCAAAGACCACACCAAGAGGTGGAGGGTGCAGTGAGCCAAGACCGCACCTCTGCACTCCAGCCTGGGCAACAGAGCAAGAGTCCGTCTAAAAAAAAAAAAAAAAAAAACCCCACACATACGACACTTAGAATTGTACCTGGCACATTAATAAAAGCTTGTACATTTTACCTGTCATTGTTAATTCCCGATTAGCACAGTGCAGTAGTACATTAAGAAAAAAATTATTCCAACTTGGGTAACATAATGGGAAAAAATTTTAAAAATTAAGCCGGGCGCGGTGGCTCAAGCCTGTAATCCCAGCACTTTGGGAGGCTGAGGCGGGTGGATCACGAGGTCAAGAGATCAAGACCATCCTGGTCAACATGGTGAAACACCGTCTCTAGTAAAAATACAAAACATTAGCTGGGTATGGTGGCATGTGCCTGTAATCCCAGCTACTCAGGAGGCTGAGGCAGGAAAATTGCCTGAACCCAGGAGGCGGAGGTTGTGGTGAGCCGAGATTGTGCCATTGCACTCCAGCCTGGGTAACGAGCGAAACTCCATCTCAAAAAAAAAAAAAATTTTTTTTAATTAGCCAGAAGTGGTGCATGCCTGTATTCCCAACTACTCAGGAGGCTGAGGTGGGAGGATCACTTGAGCCCAGGAGGTCAAGGCTGCAGTGAACCATGATTGTGCCACTGCACACCAGCATCTGGGTGCAAAGTGAGACCCTGTCTCAAAAACAAAGAAATTGTTTATAATACTTTAATGAAACAAAAGTATCTTTAATGTAACATCAGCACTTTCTTACTATTGTAATAAAAAAAGAAAAAATGCTGGGTACACCGGCTCACACCTGTAATCCCAGTACTTTGGGAGGCGGAGGCAGGGAGATCATGAGGGCAGGAGATCAAGACCATCCTGGCCAACATGGTGAAACCTGGCTCTACTGAAAATACAAAAATTAGCCAGGTGTGGCGGTGCACGCCTTTAGTCCCAGCTATTCAGGAGGCTGAGGCAGGAGAATCGCTTTAACCTGGGGGATTGAGGTTGCAGTGAGCCGAGATCTCACTCCAGCCTGGACAACAAACAGCAAAACTCCATCTTAAAAAAAAAAAAAAATGCTGGGCGCTGTGGCTCACGCCTGTAATCCCAGCACTTTGGGAGGCCGAGGCGGGTGGATCACGAGGTCAAGAGATCGAGACCATCCTGGTCAACATGGTGAAACCCCGTCTCTACTAAAAATACAAAAAAAAAAATTAGCTGGGCATGGTGGCACGTGCCTGTAATCCCAGCTACTCAGGAGGCTGAGGCAGGAGAATTGCCTGAACCCAGGAGGCGGAGGTTGCGGTGAGCCGAGATCGCGCCATTGCACTCCAGCCTGGGTAACAAGAGCGAAACTCTGTCTCAAAAAAAAAAAAGAAAGAAAGAAAGAAAATAAAATATTTAATTATTGGAGCTAATATGTAATAAACCTTGGAGGAAATGTAATTGAAACCAAAGTTTGTTTATTCTTTGAAAGTGTGTTAGTACGATATTCTTAAATCGTCATCCAAGTAATTCATAGGGATATTAGAAGCATAGATCAAAAACAATTGGGGTGAGGAAGAGAGATAAAAGAGACTGAGGGAATTAATGCTTATCTTGGACAAACCAGTGAAAAGGTATTTTAAGCAATAAAATAATTATGAAAATTTGGCTGGGCGCGGTGGCTCAAGCCTGTAATCCCAGCACTTTGGGAGGCCGAGGCGGGTGGATCACAAGGTCAAGAGATCGAGACCATCTTGGTCAACATGGTGAAACCCCGTCTCTACTAAAAATACAAAAAAAAAAAAAAAAAGTAGCTGGGCATGGTGACGCATGCCTGTAATCCCAGCTACTCAGGAGGCTGAGGCAGGAGAATTGCCTGAACCCAGGAGGCGGAGGTTGCGGTGAGCCGAGATCGCGCCATTGCACTCCAGCCTGGGTAACAAGAGCGAAACTCAAAAAAAAAAAAAAGAAAAAAAAAATATTATGAAAATTTATCAGAAGAGAAGGAACAGAATCTAAGATTTAAAAAGCGTTAAGATAACTGGTTGCTAGCCGGGCGCGGTGGCTCAAGCCTGTAATCCCAGCACTTTGGGAGGCCGAGGCAGGTGGATCACGAGGTCAAGAGATCGAGACCATCCTGGTCAATGTGGTGAAACCCTGTCTCTACTAAAAATACAAAAAATTAGCTGGGCATGGTGGCGCGTGCCTGTAATCCCAGCTACTCAGGAGGCTGAGGCAGGAGAATCGCCTGAACCCAGGAGGCGGAGGTTGCAGTGAGCCGAGATCGCGCCATTGCACTCCAGCCTGGGTAACAAGAGCGAAACTCCGTCTCAAAAAAAAAAAAAAACCAAAAAAAAGATAACTGGTTGCTATATTTTTAAAAAGATATCTAGAATAAGTAGGATGCTTTTTTTTTTTTTTTTCTTTGTGATAGAGTGTTGCTCTGTTGCCCAGGCTGGAGTGCAGTGGTACAATCTTGGCTCACTGCAAACTCCACCTCCGGGTTTGAACAATTATCCTGCATCAGCCTCTGGAGTAGCTCGGATTACAGGTACTTGCCACCACGTCTAACTAATTTTTGTATTTTTAGTAAAGATAGGGTTTCGCCATTTTGGCCAGGCTGGTCTCAAACTCCTGACCTCAAGTGATCCACCCATCTGAGCCTTCCAGAGTGCTGGCATTAGAGGCGTGAACCACTGCACCCGGCCTGAAATTAGTTTTATGTAAGACTGTTGCGATAACTTGCTGCAGCTTTAGGAGTAATT